CCGAGAAGGCGATGCTGGTGATGGGACCGGAGTGTCCCGGGAAGTTGGCCACGTTGGTGCGTTCCTGAGGGAAAAGGCAGTTGGAGACAGGCTGCCAGGAGGGAACTGCAGCAGCTTTATAGCTGGGAGAACAGGGAGAGGAGCTGGAGGTGGGATCCCGGCAGCCCAGTGGCTGTGGCCGGGCTGGATCCATGGGCAGCACCGGGGCAACTCGATGCTCTTACATCTCTTTTCCAACCTCACTGATTCCATCTGAACCCCCAGGAGCCCCCTACAAGCTTTTTGGGGTTGGAATCTCCAAATTCCTTGGATTGAACCCTCTGCTGGGCACCAAACCACACCCCTCCCCCCCCAAGGATGCTGCCTCCCCATCCCCTCCCCTCGCACACCCAGAGCTGGTTCTACCTTCAGATCCCAGATCTTGATCTGAGAGTCCATCGTTCCCGTTCCAAAAATGAGCCCATCCGGGTGGAACTGGGCGCAGGTGAGAGCTGCAGAGACACAGGAATTGCGTTGGGCAGAAGCTCTTCCCTGGGAGGGTGCTGAGGCGCTGGCACAGGGTGCCCAGAGAAGCTGTGGCTGGCCCATCCCTGGCAGGGTTCAAGGCCAGGTTGGACACAGGGGCTTGGAGCAACCTGCTCCAGTGGAAGGTGTCCCTGCCCGGGGCAGGGGTTGGAAATGGAGGAGCTTTGAGGTCCCTTCATCCCAAACCATTCCACGATTCGGAGGATTGGGAAGGATTTCTTTGTTACCAGCCCTCCCCATCAGGTTCTAGTGAGCTCCAGGACATCAGGGACCCAGAGGCAGGAAAATCCCTTCTCCACAAGCTCCCAACAGGGTTGGGATCCTCATCTCCATCCTTACCACAGCCAGAGCTCTCATCTGTCACCTTGGTGAGGACACGGCCTGTCTGGATGTCCGAGAAAGCCCAGTACTGGAGGAGAAGGAGAACGTGGTGAGTACGTGGAGATGAGGAGCAGGAGGAAGGTTCTGTGGGCTGGGCTGGGTCTCACCTGGTCATCTGAGGAGCTGAGGAGGTAGTCACCCGTCGCATGGAGGCTCAGCCCGGTCACAGAGCCCTCATGGGCACGGACAACCTGCACACACGAGGCATTGGGGACAGACCAGATCCGGATGGTGGCATCTGGAGAGGCTGAGAACACCAGATCCTGGGCAGGGAAGAAGGACGATGGTTGACATCAAAAGATCTTCACCTCTTTGTTGTCTGAGTGAGGTGGAGACCCCACCAGAACAGAAAAGGGACCAGACAAGCCCATCTGGAGCAGTCTGGCTGTGAGGGAAGAGGAACACACCTGGGATGGGTGGAACACAACACTGGTAACCTTCTTGGAATGCCCCTTGAGTGTTGCCAGGATCTGCTCCGAGCTCTTGTCAAAGACAATGACGTTTTTATCAGCCCCACCTGGAAACCAAAGCAGAGAGTGGGGAGAGATGGGACTCTGTGGCCAACCAGGTCCACGTCCACCTCCTTTCCTGCTTCCACCACTCATGAGAACCCCTCATGCCCTTTGTCCCAACTCCATCCCTCAAAAGCCCAGAGATAGGGACCTGCTGCCAGGCACTGGAAGCTCTCAAGTGCCACCACACAGTCCCAGCAAGCAGAGGAGGGTTCCTTACCAGTGAGGATCTTGTTGGTGTCAGAAGGACAGAGGTCCAAGGCCAGGATCCCTGGAATGCTGGCGCTGTGCAGCCCCTAGGTGAGGTGGGAGGACACCAGGTGAATGCCACAAGCATGGAAACAGCCCCAGAAGGAGCTGGGAAGCTCCTGATGATGCTCCAGGAGCTCCTTCACCATGAGAGCAAGAGCTTGTGGAGCATCTCCCCAGCACAGAGAGCCACAACCACCTCCATGCTCTGCCCAGCAGCAGATGTGTCCCTTATGGATGTGGTGAAGCACCACAGGAGGGACCAGCTCCACGGGGAAGGTTCTGGAGGCCTCACTGGCACCATGGCACTCACCACGTGTGAAGCAACCTGCCGGTACTTGCTGAGCTCCTCCGGCTTCACCAGCTCCTCTGGGACTGTCTTCCCTCTCTGCAGAAGGGAAACGGGATGGGGATGGACATCAGCACCTCCTGGAGCCCATCACGTACGCGCTGTGGTGTCTTTAGGGTGGAAAGGAGCCACTCACCTTCTTACGCTCCGTGGTGAGCACCGTGGCCTTGTCTTGGAGCTGTGGAAGAGAAGGGTGGTCACAGATGGACCGGGATGGAGCAGAAGAGGTGCTGGTGCTGGCTCCAGCAGCACAAGAGGTGTTTTACCTTCTGGATGATCTCTGGGGTCATGCCAGCCAGCTCTCCCAGATCCATGGATTCCCCAGCTCCCTGCAGGGGACACAGGAAGGGTTGGTGCCCCCAGCGGAGGGACAGGGCGGGAATGAGTGGGGAAGGGCGGGATAAGGAGGGAGAAGAGCCAAGCTGGGAGCGGGGGCACTCACGGCCACGTTGGGCTGGGAGGATGGCACCGTCTGCGGCACGATGAGCCCGGCCTGAGGCTTCAGGGTAGCCAGAGCTGGGGAGCAGGGAGGCCAGGGATAAGGAATGGGAATGGGAAAGGAGACAGAGCCCAGTGCAGGGAGCCCAACCACAGCACCCAGCGCCCAGTGCAAT